GAAAGAGAAATTACCCCTTCCGAGGGGCTAATGTTTGTGGGTAAAAAAATACCCCCTATATGTGGACCAATGCCACCTCGACATGTGTCCGCAAGCTCAGCCCTCAATGAGCCCATTAGAGCATGACACGTGTCATTCAATGATAGAAGGGTGAAAATGGGCTTTAAGCCCACAACCCTAGAAACCGTAAAACGGTGGGAAGCCAATCTACTTAGGTTAAATAACCTAAGAGGCACATATCCCAATGCTCTATAAATACTTATTACATCAGTTTTAGGGGCTCCTTTTCTATCTAAAAGGGCAATGCCCCCCACATTTAATCTCCCTTCTCTCTACTTTCTCTCTCTATAATACATTATTTCGGTCACTGACTTGATCGTCGGAGGCGGACCTCCGGCCCCCCGGGGTCCGTTGTTTTGCAGGTGGTCGGGCCGTTCGAGTGTTGCATTGCAGATCTGTCTCCCGAGGGATGTACACACCCTCCATTCGGGTACGTACAAAAAACCCCAAAACAGGGGTGATTGAACCAGCCTCCATTCTGGTATTCTCATAATCAGGTCTGGATATTTAGTAAATTGTATCACTGGTATCAGAGCAGCACCTTCCTCGGCCTGTCTTTCACCATGCCTATCACTAGGTCGTCGTCGGACTTAGCTCAGTTAGGAAATACTGAGGTCAAGAAGCTGGAGCAAACTATAAAGCTCTTACTCTAGGAGCAGGGTAAGAAACTTGAATCTGCTTGTAGAAGTAACGACAATAACATTGATAAGAACTGTAAGTCTATATCCGAATTAAATGTCCTGCTGCTAGGACTTTCTGTTCAAATAACTAAGCTGGTTGCTGATAATACTAATAAACCAGGGCCTAAAAATAGATTTATACATGATCAAGAATCTGAACCCCCACCCAAACAATCTCACTATGCGCTAGGCTAACTAAGGTAGAATTCCCTAAGTTTAATGGAACAGACTTGAAATCCTGGATATTTAAGTGTAATCAGTTTTTTGAACTTGATGGTATCAAGGACCATGATAGGGTTAAAGTTGTTGCTATTCACCTGGAGGATAAGGCCCTTCTCTAGCATCAAACTTATTCCCAGAGAAAGCACCAGGTATTACCTAACTGGGAAGACTATGTTAGGGATATCACAGCTCAATTTGGAGATCTATTTGATGACCATATGGATGATCTAAAATCTCTCAAATAGACTGGAAGTGTTCAAGAGTATCATGATGCATTTGATGCCCTAGCTAGCAGGCTTAGTCTGTCTTAGCCTTACTTGTTAAGCTGTTATCTGGCTGGGCTGGAAGAAGACATTCAGCTCTCAGTGAGGATGTTTAATCCCACCAATTTACAGCAAGCCCTATGCTTAGCTAAATTTCAAGAAGCTGCTAATAGGGCAAAGAAACCAAAAACACCCATAAAGCAATCACCTCTTTTACGTACCCCAAAACCAACCACTCAGCTCATACCATACAAACCCACCTTTCCCACAAATAATCCTACCCAACCAACCAGAACCCCAAACACTTTTAACCCTAACCAACCTGCTAGAACACCAAACACAAAAAGAAGAACCTTAACCCCAGCTAAGTTCAATGAAAAGAGAGCTAAGAACCAGTGTTTCTGGTGTGATGAAAAGTGTGAGGTGCAACATAAATGCAAGGATAAAAGACCTCAGTTGTACCATATTGAGGTGGAAGACTCAGAAGGAGAAGAGGAGGATGTGACAGAAGAGGTAGAACAGGACAGCTCCTAATGTGCTCATATGTCGTTACAGGCTATAGATGGAATAACATCTTTCCAAACCATGAGAATTGAGGGACATCATGGCAAAAAGAAACTGCAATTGCTTCTTGATAGTGGCAGCACACACAATTTTATTGATGCAAATAAAGCTCTTAAGCTTGACTGCAAGGTTGAAAGCATAACACCTTTAGGGGTGAAGGTGGCTGATGGAAATGAGATCAATTGCCATCAAATCATTAAAGGGTTTACCTGGAAGATGCAAGGCACTGAATTCAAAGCTGATGTATTCTTATTACCACTTAGTGGGAGTGATTTGGTTCTGGGAATACAATGGTTTTCTCAGCTTGGTCCAGTTTTGTGGGATTTCTGTAACCTCACTATGGAATTCAAGTATGGTGGGAAGAAAATCAAATTGAGAGGAGTTAACCCAAAGAAATGGAGAGTAGTGCAACCAAAGAAACTTCAGAAAATTCTCACCAGTGAAGGCTCACTGTCCATGATGCAACTCATACCCAGTGAAGCTCATATTTCACCCCAGCCTATTTTTGATAATATATCAACCCCCACCCCAGTTTGACTGCTCTATTAGAGCAGTATGAGACTGTTTTCTCACCACCCCAGGAACTGCCACCAAAGAGAGAAGGGTTTGATCATGTTATACCACTCAAAGAAGGCACTAGTGCTATTAATTTGAGAGCTTACAGATACCCTGCTTTACAGAAGAATGTGATTGAAGAAATGGTGCAGGAATTACTTGAGCAAGGAGTGATCAGGACAAGCAATAGCCCCTTTGCAGCACCTGTTGTTTTGGTCAAAAAGAAAGATGGCAGCTGGAGAATGTGTATAGATTATAGGAATTTGAACAAGGCAACATTCAAGGACAGATTTCCTATACCTCTTATTGAAGAACTTTTAGATGAGCTACAGGGCACTCAGTTCTTTTCTAAAATAGACCTTAAATCTGACTATCATCAAATTAGAATGCACCCTTCAGACATTCAGAAGACAACTTTCAAAACTCACTTTGGGCACTTTGAATATCTAGTGATGCCATCTGGGCTCACTAATGCTCCCTTCACTTTTCAAGCCCTTATGAACTCTATTTTTAAACCCCTCCTCAGAAAGTGTGTATTTTTTTTTTTTTATGATATTCAGGTATACAGCCCCACTTGGGAAGCTCACTTGAGGGATCTCAATGCTACCCTAGATATTATGCAAGAGCACCAACTCCATGCCAACCTTAAAAAGTGTTCATTTGGCCTTAGAGAAATACACTACTTAGGGTATATCATTTCTCAGCTGGGAGTTGCAACTGATCCTGAGAAAGTGAGAGTTATGCTAGAGTGGCCAAGACCTAAGAATCTTAAACAACTGAGGGGATTCCTAGGTCATACTGGGTATTATAGAAGATTTATAAGAGACTATAGGAAGATATGCAAGCCTCTGACTTCATTGCTAGGCAAAGCTGGATATTCTTGGAATAATGATGCTGAGAATGCATTTAACCAGCTGAAACAGGTCATAAACACCCCACTTGTATTAGCTATGCCCAATTTTGCTGAACCTTTTATCATAGAAATAGATGCTTTTGGGAAGGGAATTGGAGTTGTGTTAATGCAAAGTGGACACCCCATTAGCTATTTTAGCAAAGCTCTCAGTGAAAGACAAAGTGTACTATCTGCATATGAGAGAGAACTATTGGCAGTAGTATTTGCTGTGAGAAAGTGGCAACACTATTTATGGCTAGACCTTTCACAATAAAGACTGACTAGCAGAGTCTTAAATATTTACTTGAATACAAACTAGCCACCCCTTTTCAGCAAAAATGGTTGTCCAAGCTCACTGGTTTTTTCTACCAGGTTGAATACAAGTCAGGTGTAGAAAATAAAGTGGCAGATGCTCTCTCAAGGATACCTGAAGCTCAGCTTAATGCCTTGTTTAGCTCCAGTCTCAACTCTGATCTATTTAATAAGGTTAAGCAGACCTGGGTTTCTGATGCAAATACTCAGAAATTAATTACAGAGTTGCAAGGCAACCCAGAATCTCACAGACATTACACCTGGGACCAGCAATTGCTCAAAAGAAAAGGGAAGTTAGTGGTGGGACAAGATGGAGCTATTCAGAAAAAGATTCTTGCTTGGTTACATAACTCATCCCAAGGTGGCCATTTTGGTGTTGAAGCCACTTATCAAAGAGTAAAAGCAATCTTCTATTGTAAGGGCATGAAGGAATGCATCAAACAGCACATTAAACAATGCACTGTATGCCAGCAATGCAAATGTGATGCTGCAGCTTACCCTGGGCTTCTACAACCACTACCCTTACCAGAACAAGTGTGGGATGAAGTAACCATGGATTTTATTGAAGGGCTACCTAATTCTCATGGGAAGCAAGTCATCATGGTAGTGGTAGACAGATTGAGCAAGTATGCTCACTTTATTGCTCTATCCCACCCATATTCTGCTTTAAAGGTTGCTCAGGCATATCTAGATCATGTGTTCAAGCTACACGGCTTTCCCAAATCTACTGTATCAGATAGAGATAAGGTGTTCATCAGCCAGTTCTGGTCAGAATTCATCAAGCTCCAAGGGGTACATCAGAAATTGTCCACCTCATAACATCCCAAGACAGATGAGCAGACTGAGGTCCTGAATAGGTGCTTGGAGTCTTACTTAAGGTGCATGTGTCTAGAGAAACCTCAAGACTGGTCTAAATGGTTATCTCTTGCTGAGTTTTGGTACAACACAAACTATCATACCTTAGGAAGAGTCACTCCCTTTGAGATTCTTTATAATCAAGCTCCTCCCATTTACAGACCTTATTTGGCTGGAACATGTGTGATAGATGCTGTTGATAGGAGCTTATAGCAGAGAAATGCAGCTATCTCAATGCTGAAAGACAATTTACTCAGAGCTCAGAACAAGATGAAGCAGCTGGCTAACAAACATAGATCTGAGAGACAATTTGCAGTTGGAGATTGGGTGTATTTAAAACTGCAGCCATACAGGCAGATTTATGTGCAAAATCAAAGTAATGAAAAGCTCTCACCTAGATACTATGGCCCTTACCAGATTGTGAAGAGAGTGGGTGAGGTAGCTTATACTTTACTACTCCCTCCCTCTGCCAAGATCCACCCCACATTCCATGTCTCTCTTCTAAAAAAACATCATGGACCCACACCTGCTCAACCCACCCCACCTAACTTACCCAATCTCTATCCTGATCAAACTGCATTTAAAGTCCCTATAGCAGTGCTTGACAAAAGAAGTGTGAAGAGACAAAACCATGTAGTGGTCCAATGGTTAGTTCAATGGGATCAATGGCCTATAGAGGAAGCAACATGCGTGGATGCTGAGAAGATAGAGAAGGAATTTCCTACATTTGATCCTTGGGGTCAAGGATCCTTTAATGGAGGGAGTATTGATGCAATTAATGTTCCATTGGATACTGTTCCATTGAGGAATGAAGTGCTGAATGAACTGACTATGAACAACAACAATGAATCAGCTGCTGAGTCAGATGCTGAGTCAAGAAAAGCAACAGAGGATCAGGGGAATGGAAAGAGTGATGATCAAGGAATGACAGCTCACAATGAGCAGAAGAATAATAAAGGGAATATGCCAGCTAGCCATTAGAGGAAACTATGATAGTCTGTCATTGTACTAACTATTTTGTCTTATTTCAATTTGTTATGAGTCATCCTGTAATCAAGGCTATAAAGCCAAACAATGATGTAATAGCTGGTATTATGTTTAATCAATGAAAATTCCCTTTGATCTTATCTCTTACTCTCTCTCTATAATCTCACTGCAATTTAATCATTCAATTGCTTCCTCAAACTGCCCTTCTTTCTAACTAGGCTAGTTATTAGGGGTGATTGAACCAGCCTCCACTATGGTATTCTCAGAATCAGGTCTGGATATTTAGTAAATTGTATCATAATTTTATTTTTGCAATTTTGATTTGATTTTAATTTTGCAATTTCTGCTTCAATTTAGTATGTTTAAATAAGTGATCCTTAGGATTCGTAAAATCAATTTCCAATTATTTCTGTTTCAATTTTAAGTATATATTGCAAGTTCTTTAATTGTATTTTTGTTAGGCATCTATAATTGTCTATTCAGTTCTCTTTAATTTCAATAATATCGTTTTTTTTTACTGTTTTCATTAATTAAGCCAATTTCAATATAGTTGGTCTCAATTGATTTTCTGAAACTTTGATTAAACATTATAGGCAAATGGAATATTTAATCAGTTAAATGCGTTTGATTGGCTATCTTATAGATAAGGGTTTTGGGTATGGTTTAATTGGGAGAACTTCTTTGGTTTGGGGATATCTCTGTTTCTAAATTTGGCATCTTTGATTCTTCAATTTCATGGATCCGTACCTCTATTTCTTATTGTAACATCTTATTGTGCCCTGTCCCCTAACATCAGTTCATTGCAGTTATGTTTCATTATGTGGTAGTGAAGTCTTAATAAGATAGTCCAACTCCAACATTCTTACATGCCTACTGAAATTTATTCACTTGCTATTTGGTGGATTATTATTCTAGTTCTCATTGGTTAAAGTGGGATTACCGGATTAGGACTCTTAGACAACATTTATAGAGTTTGATTTTGGTCTATTTGATTAGTATCAATGCAAGTTCTGTTTTCAATGTTAATGTATCTATTGCAATATTGATGTTTCCCATTGTTGTGGAAATGCTTGTTTAGGGTTCTAGACCTACCTCTGGTTAGTAGGGGAAAGATACTCATAAGTGCCATTTCTTGTAAGTGACTTAAAGGGATGTGGAAGGCTTGGAATGGGCTGTTCAGGGTATGACAGAGATCCAAAGCATCAAGCCTTCCATCAAATATAACTGTGCTCAATCAGTCATTGATTCTAAACAATTCACCTTGACATGTTTTATTAGCTTCAGTAATTTTTTTGTTCTGTTAACATCCTATAATTTAAGTAATTGAGGACTGAGGAGTGAGTGACTTAGCAGTTAAGAACTGAGGTTTAAGAATAGTTGAGAATAAGATACCCGTTGTAGGTTTGGATACTCTTGCATGAACTTACACTACCACACCTAACAATTGCTTGAATGTGCTCAGTATTGCCACTAGGTAATACTTTCATTAAAATCAAACTAAATACTTTTTTATGTGACATACTTTTTTATTTGTTTGAGTGTAACAGGAAGAAGTTGTCAAAAAGAACGAGTCATTTGACAGGCTACAAGAAGAAGCTCAGAAATACTTGGTACAAAGTGAAAAGTTGAGTGTTGAAAAAGATGAGTTTGAAACAGAAGTATATGCAAAGGTACTTTGTATTCTTATTTTATAAACAGAAGTATATGCAAAGGTACTTTGTATTCTTATTTTATAGCTCTCTACCCTAGATAATTTGTAGACAAAGTTAATGGTTGAAGAGTGAAATTTTAAAACATATTCTATTAGCCAGCATTTTGAATCAGACCTGGGTGTCTAACTGCCTGGGAAAGGAGTGATTCCCTCATATAAGTAGAAAATGAGAGGAAAGATTCATTTCAAGCATGTCTATGATCAGAAGACAATATTCAAAGAGCTCGAAACAAGTGTTCAATTCAAAATTTATGAGTTTGTTGATCGATTTTAGATTGTTAAGGAAACATTGGGAATTGTCGTGGTCTGTAAGAGGTTTGTAAGTTTAAATTAGTTTTCAATGCTTAAGTTTAATCTTAGATTTTAATGCATGTTTTCCACTATACGATTGCTGATTTCATTTTCATTTTCTTTCATATGATTGACTGGGCTTAATTTTTTCTTATAGGAAAATTGATTGTGTAGTGTTGTTTACAATTACTTTTTTGTTAGATTTAGAAAACTATAAATAGCTTATTTTTTCCGGCAAAATTGAAGTTTTTTGTTACTCCCTTTTCTACTGTAATCACTTTTTGATTTTACCACACCATGGATTTAATCAGCAGGATACTTTTTTAAAATAAATTAAGATGAATATATATTTAATTATATTCAATTTTTGATTATTTGGATCCCGACTTTTCACCAGCAAATCTCAATTTAATTGGTTAGATTATTCTCAATTAAAAGATGATGCATTCATGGGTTTACTAATTTGCTGCATATTACTATATAATAAGTCCAGCCCCCGGCTTCGCCCATGATTCGCCCTGTTCCTAATGGCCTGCTGATTTATTACTGGCTGGTTCTGGTCTGATGCTTATGTGATCAGCAGCTTCTGGCTGGTCTGGTCTGGTCTGTTGCTGCTGTGATCAGTATCTACTTGTCAAGCTGTCAGGCTGCTGCTAGATTGCTGCTGGAGTGTTGATGCTTCATGCTTCTGCTGCTGTTTTGCTTATCTTTTTTTTCTGGTTGTTGCTTGTAGGCTCTAGTGTTTTTTCTGTTTTGGCTTTGTTTTTGTTTTTGTCCTAGGCCCCTCAACATTTACATTAACCACTAATCTTATATGGCTACGAGGGTTAGGCTCTTCATCCATGGACATAGAAACAAATGATGAACCTAGAGGGACAAGGGAGAATAATAGCACCATAGAGGGAGAATAATAGCACCATAGAGGTAGGCTTTGATGAGGAAGGACAGATTGATCAATCACTTGAACATGAAGATGCATCTTTGGATGGTGAGCCATTGAACAACAAGGCACTCATGACTATAGCAGAGGAAGAGGACCTTAACATTTCATCAGGTTTGCTTTATCATTTCTCAATACATATATATAAATCCATTTGGTTCAAGTCACGTCGATTCTTTAACTAGTGAGCTTATGCTAAGCTAGATACAGGTGCTACTAAAAAAAAGAGGAATGATATATTGCAGAAAGCTTACCCTATTACCTCCTGGGAAATACTGAACTGGATTTTGACGAGGATGGTGTTGCTATTGGTGATAATGCCTCATTATTTTCATTCTTCTTGGGCCAACAAGTTCGAAATAAAGCTGTATGTCCGGTACAAGTCAAAAGTTGGGATGAGTATACATCTGAAATATTAGACCATTTGTGGGCTTGCATCATGGTAATATATGGTCAAAATAAACATGTTTATGAGGTTTTTTCTTTCACTTATACATTAGGAAACATTGTCAATTTCCCTTTGAGCATTAATTTTCTAATATTTATCTTTTGCAGGAGAAGTGGCCATTTGATGATCCTGAAAATAGGCCGGAGAGTATTATAAAACATGCACAAGCTATATTTACAGGTGCAAGGAACAAATTGAAATCAAAGTATTTTAATGATAAAAAGTTAAAGACAAAAGATGAACGTCTCAAAAATAAGCTTAGTCATTTGACTAAAAATGAATGGAAGTTCTTGGTTGACTATTGGAGTGATGAGACGGTTATGATAATATAAAACATTACAATATGTTTATTTTTATATACGTAATGTATCTAATTGATTAAATCGTTTTTACTACATAAGAAGAGCAAAAAAGCAAGTGAAAGTAGGGCTCACTACAACAGCACTAAAAGCTTCGGTCGCACTAGACAAGAAATTGTATGTAAATTTCTAAATTTAACTTTTGATTCTTGCATTTTATATTTTATTGGCTTTATTATGTGCACACTAGCCCCGCCCACTACTTGCACACATTCCTCTCCTTTGAGATGTGATCTGATGATGCACCTCTGACTATTACCATCAAGTGATGGTTGGGAGATCTCAAGACCCTCCTCTTTAACGATAGATACATAAAACTAAAGTTGTTGATCTGACGTCGTCAATCTTAGACAGTAAGCTTCATTATATAAGTATCATCAAGTAAATCATTTTTATTAGCAAGTTCACATATCTTTTCAGTGCAATAGAAGAGAATTAGTGACATAGATAGTTATAAACACAAAAGTAGCATAATAGTTGAGCAAAGGATACGAGTGATCCAATGCTACCCTCAAATGGAGTTGAGGATGAGACCGAAACAAAAAAGTTTGCTCTGCCAGTGGATGTAGAGAACAACGCCACAATCTTTCCACTCATATCAATGCCAAAGCCTCATAGGAAAACATTTCATTCATGCTGGATACACTAAGCAAAATATGACATATGCTAGGTGGATTAGAGGCTTTTGAGCATGCTACCAAATACAAGGGCTGCTAGCTGCTGCTGCTTCTGTACAATGATATTTTGCTTAGTTTCATGTTTTTGCTTAGTTTGGCAGCAGGCTCATAAGCCTCTGATCCACCTGGCATTGAAGAGAGACAAATCTTCAAGTTCTTTGAATCCTTTACCTCCAACAAGAGTTTCCTGATTCTTCCAAAACAAGGAAAAAAAGGAAATTGCAAGATTAAGGTCAAAGGTGGTTGAACCAAATATAGTTTCTAGGAGATTGTTAAGCATGTTAAGGTTGTTTGTGATCTTCTTCCTGGAGATGTTTCTTGTTACTGACCTGTGTTTTTAAGGTTGCTTGTGATGTTCTATTGCTTCCTGCCTGCACACCAGCCTCCCTGCACACTTCTGCCACTTCCTGTATACACCCGCCTCCCCTCCTGCACACACCTCCCCCCTCCCCCCCGGTTTGCTTGCACAAACTTGACCCCTTCCCTGGCACAAAATATGATTTTAAATACTCTCGAATGTTTTTAGAGGAAATATAATGGTGGGAAGTGTTCTCAAGTTGATGAATTTTTACGTAAACATCAATGTTATTAATCAACTTGAACTTTTTATTAATGTTAATTCGTTAAGCTTAATTCTTGGAACTATGTTATACAATAGTTACAATAAACTTTTATGTTCTACTTTTTAAGAGTTATAATTTACAGTCAAGCTTCTTTTATATTCTGTATCAATATTATTTGAATGTTTTCAATTGACATTTTCGTTTGAGAATCATATTGACTTGATTATTTACTTATGTATTGTAGGTAAAAAGGCGCGGAGGAGCAGTTTGGCATGCTATAGAAAGTTTTTTTTTGGAGGGGGGGGGGGGGGGGGAGGGTGGAAACGAGTATGTATTTATTGCTCTTTAGCATAAAGGTTATTTCTATTATGTTTATAATAGTTGCTGAATTCTAGTATGTTTGAATGTATGGGATGTTAGACATCAATATGATTATATCTATTTCAGCAATAAAAAATCTTATGTTTGCGAAAATTTCAATTTTTAATATTTAGCTATGTTTGTACTGTAAATGCTACCAAAATAGTTTACACCTATTGAATTTAGTAGCTACAGATAGTAACGTGGCAATGGACCGCAATAGTAATGTGGCAATAGATTTATTTGCCACAGTATTATTCGTGGCAAAGAAATTAATTAGCCACGGTAATATGTTGATGTGTCTATTTTATATATTATTTTACCCCCGTCCTTTGGTCATAATTAGTAGTGTTTTTGGCTTTTTAGAGCCACTTTTATTACTAATTGGTGTTTTCTAGTGTTTTCGTAGATTTAGTTGACTTTTGCAGGGATTTACACTATTGGAGTATTTTCCTGAGATATTTTGGAGCAATCACGAACATTGGAGAAGCATGACAAGATTTTATAGCCCAGGGCCGGTTAGAGCCATCGAACCGGTGATTAAGGGCTCGGTGTAGGTGATACCGGTGCATTTGGACCAAGTATTCAAGACCGGAAGAGGAAACCCATATTGTCCCGAAGAATTGGAGCCCAATCGTAGTCCAAATAGTGGCCCAAGAGAGTCGCCCGGCCAAAGAGGCTGGCGCCAGGAGGCGCGCCCGGCCGGGCGGGAGAAGCAAAGGTCGGCGCCCGGTGACGCGCCCGGCCGGGTGCGAGAGTCTACCTGAAGAGCAAAAAAAGGCGCGCCCGATCGGGCGGTGCCTCACCCGATCGGGCGCGTGTAAATATTAGAAGTTAATTTTGTCGTTTAAGTTTGTTTAGTTTAGGTTTTGTACGGAGTATAAATACTCCTCCATAATACGATTTTAGGATCTCTCTCTCTCTCTCTCTCTCTCTCTCTCTCTCTCTCTCTCTCTCTCTCTCTCTCACTCTTTACTCTTCTTGGCTCTCTTAATTGTTTTATTAGATTTTCTCTCTCTTAAACCTTTGTTCTTAATCTATTCTTAATTCCAGATTTATTTTGGTAACGATTTCTCTTCTCTTAATCTTAGTTGTTTATTTTATTCCTTTAATCATGTCTTGCTTTATTGGTTTGATTAGTTTAGTTTCTATTATGTGTGAGTAGTTTTCTTTCTAGGGTTTATGGGGATCCATAAATATTATGAAGGGGTAATTTATTGATATTAATTATCAATGCTAGATAAATTTCCTATTGATTGATTTAATGCTCTGTGTCTAGATTAGGCCTGATCTTTTATGCATGAGTTTGACAATATTGATTCGAGATTCGATAGATGAGAATTGATGTTTAGGTCTAGTTTCAATAGGCAGGTTAATTTATAAATGGTTAGGTCGAGATTCGAAAGATGAGAATTAATACCGGTAAATTAATTGTGTGATTATAATACGTAGCGAAAGCCCTTTATAATCTGATTAATATATGCATTGATGAATGATTATTATATTCTACCCTGGAATATTATTTATTGGTGAACTTATGTCCTAGATCCTTTTATATATTATTTTCTCCCTATTCTTGATCTCCATAGTTTAGTTTATTATTCAAATTCACATATTAGTTACCTAATAATCTAGATTATATTAATTGATTAGAAATAGAAAGACTCGTTTCTCTGTGGATTCGACCCTACTTCCCTATCTAAATTAGTTAGAGGATTTAGGTATTACTTTTGATTTGGGGATACGAATTTACCCTGTCAAAATTTGGCGCCGTTGCCGGGGAAACGGTTTCATTTCTATTTCTGATTATTTTTGTAGTTTGGATTATTACTTTTTGTCTCAGAGAACGTTAGTTCTTTGAGGCAAATCTCATATTTGCTTTTAGTTTTTTTTTGTTTATGCCCAGGTGTTCTAGATCAGGGTACATTCCATTCGATCCTGAGATCGAACGTTCCTTCCATAGACAGAAAAATCTCTACAAGCAAATCCTGGCGGATTCTGGTGATAATAATAATCACCGAGACCCTCCAACTGGTTCTAGCGATTCAGAGGTATCATCAGACGCAGAATCAGAGATGGAGGTTCTAAAGAAGCTTAGTGATTACTCACAACCAAAGCTTTCAGATTTTCCACATCTCACTCCCACTCCGGCTCTTGATGGGGTTCAATTTGAAATTAAACCCCAATTTATAATGATGATAGAGAGGAAGCAATTAAGTGGAGCCAAGGGTGAAGACCCAAATCTTCACATTGCCAACTATTGTCAATATTGTAATACCATTAGGCAAGCCAGGGTCACACAAGACCAAATCAGGGAGATTCTCTTTCCCTTCTCTTTAACTGGAAAAGCTAAATTGTGGTTTAATGGCTTAAATAAAACTGCACTTGGTATAACTGACTGGGAAACTCTTGTTTTGAATTTTTATAACAAGTATTATCCTGTAGAGAGAACAGCCGTACTACGGAGTGCGATTCAGATTTTTGCCCAAGAAGCCGATGATTCTTTATATGAGCCTTGGGAGAGGTTCAAGGACCTACAAAGATAATGTCCCCACCATAATTTAGCACAATGGCAGTTAATCCAAGCCTTTTATAATGGCATTAGAAATTCTTCTATAATAATTTTAGATTCTGCAGCTAGTGGGAGGTTTATGAATCTTAATGTTGATGATGCAGGTCAGGTTATTGAAGATATGGCGATACACAACTCCCAATATGCGAATCCTAGAGGCTTTGCTAACAAGGGGAAGCATAGTGTCGACTCTGTATCCTTTTTGCAAGCTCAATTGGCCTCTATCTGCCAAAAATTAGATAATCCGAGCACTGCTAATGTAGCTAATGTTTCTGCAATTAATAATAATTCTAATGAGGCTTTCTGTGAAAATTGTGGTATTATAGGTCATTGGGAACAAGATTGCAGGAGTTCCGTGGAGCAAGTTAATGCCTTTCAAGCTTATAGGCAGAATAACCTATACTCCGACACCTACAATCCTGGGTATTGGAATCATCTGTACCTTTCCTACCGGAGTACTAATGTTCAAAATCCACCACCACAAGAACCACAGGCGACACAGCAACAGCAGCAGAAATATTACCATCCCAATGCTGGCCAGAAGAACCAACCACAACAAACCTCCTCATCTTCCGACCCTTCTTTGGTGGAAATTAAAGCAATGTTGGTTAATATGTAGAAGCACATGGAGAGTAGAGATGCGACAATTGATTCAATTCTAGTGCACAATAAAATTGTAGATAATCAAATTGCGCAACTTTCCGCTACTCTACAAGCCCGCCAACAGGGAGCTCTGCGGGCACAACCGACCAGGCCTACGGATCAAGCCTATGCAATTACTCTAAGGAGTGGTTCAAACTATGAAGGGCCCCCTATGCCCAGAGTTGATGAACCGGTTTTATTAAATAATGCTAATCTTGATTCCGTTAAACCTGACAATGTAGTTAATAGCCCTGCAGAGCTAAAGGGTAGTACTAACATATCTAATTCTACATTGTAGGGTACGACTCCAGAGAAGGTGGCTACTCCAGACAAGAGCAATAATGCTCCAAAGCCAATTATCAAACTTCCATTCCCCAATCGTCACTTGAAGACAAACTTGGATAAGAAGTTTGGTAAGTTCTTGGAGATGGTAAAAGATTTGAAGGTAACAGTTCCCTTCACTGAATTAATCTCACAAATTCCTTCATATGCAAAATTTATGAAAGAAATATTGACAAGGAAAAGGTCTAATAGTGAGGTAGAGACAGTAGCTTTCACTGCAGAGTGTAGTGCCGTACTTCAAAATAAGTCTCCACCTAAATTAAAAGATCCGGGTAGTTTTTCTATCCCTTTTCATATAGGCAATCTAATGATTGATAATGCATTGTGTGATTTGGGTGCTAGCGTTAGTGTCATGCCATAATCTGTGTGTTCTAAGTTGAATATGGGTAAATTAAAAGCTACCAATATAACTCTACAAATGGCCGACCGTTCTTTCAAATACCCCTTTAGGTGTTTTAGAGGATGTCCCCGTTAGAGTAGGTAAATTTTATATACCTGTTGATTTTGTTGTTCTTGATATGGCTGAGGATATGAAAACCCCAATTATTTTGGGTAGACCATTCCTTAACACTGCAGGAGCAATCATAGATGTGAGAAGTGGTAAGTTAACACTATCAGTAGGGGATGATAAAATTGTTTTCAATCTTAATAATACCCCTAAAAGCCCCATGACTGAGGAGAAATGTTTTAGTGTTAATGTGGTTGAGAATTATTCTAACAAGCCCCAAGCTCTTGAAAAAGATCCCTTGGTGGGGGTATCTTGTGTAGCATCCTTTTTAGAAGAGATAGACAAATGGCAGAAGGAAGTCGATGCAATAGAAAGAGCCCTCTACACTGTTGGTCTTGGTTTTAAGGACGAAAAGGTGGAATCAATCAAGCAAGTTGTACAAATTGAGCCTACGGTAAGTTTTCCGCCAGATCGAGTTGCAAGTGTTGAATGCAATAACAATTTGAAGCAACACTCGATCAAACAAGGATCTTTAGTGCGTAGCATTAAAGCCCTCCCAGTCCAAGTCAAGGAGGATCCACAAGACAAAGTGAATTGGCGTCCCACAGGGCATGTCAGGAAGCCGCGTCGCAGCCAAAACACCGCTAAACCGGGTGAGAAACCACCCGATCAAGCGTTAGGAAAAGGGTTCTAGTTATTATGCTTGGTAAGAAGGTCGTGCGAGACCTAGATAAACCAGTGCTTTGCGGGAGGCAACCCGTATTTTTAAAGCTTTTTAGACTAGTTCTTCCTTCTTTTTATTATGAAAGGAGAGATGAGGGAATTTAATGAGTTCTATGAGTTTTTGTACAGTTTTGAAGGAAAACAGTTAGCCAAATTTTGGAGAAAAGAAGAAAACTAGAATTCGACAATTTAGCCTCGGGCCCGACCGAGCGAAGCTCGCCTGAT